ATTAGAAATTTCAACTTGGCTATACGTGAGAGTCACCTAGGAAGCGCTTCAGAAACGCAGGACCTGATGTGATTGGCACAGAGGATGTAGCCCAGGCCCCTGGATTACCTGAAAGCTTTGAGGTAGGGGAGAGGAGGAGGGGAATTCCATGAACCTAAGACACTATATCATGAAAAATAAAGAATTTAAAAAAAGTTATGAGAGTCAAATGTGCAGACTGGGCTGAGTTGCCGGCATAGAGCACTTCAGTTGCTAACCTAACTCTGGCACAAATGAGTTTTGCATAAATATTTCTTGGACACTTGAATGAAATCATAAATACTTCCTTTGTGAAATAAATATGAAACACGATTCATACTTACACCTTTGCAGAATATGCTTTAACTGGAGAATGAAAATTCTCAACTTACTAATGAACAACATGTGTATTTGTGCCATGTATATTCTAGAATTCAGTTATCAAGCTTTAAAAACATGGATGTTTGGAAGAACTCAGTGTAAACATTGCATTTTAGTTAAATTTTCCACAGTGTGCTTTCATCCTGAGTCTACATAAGTCATCCTTAATCTTTAATCAGTGATGAATTTGAGATGGAATATAAAATATGTTACAATGCCGTCAGAGAATGCATCAAACGTGTACATGTTCAGATAGAATATTGTTTGGTACTACAAAGTGTGAAAATTTTAACAGGTTTTTTTCCCCAGGAATACATTTTTTGCAATGTATATTATCAGGTTTTGGATATAGCATATCTAGTACTTAATTGCAAATGGCCTCTTTTATGCCCTTTGCTTTTGAAGTGAAGTCATCATGGGACATATTTGTATAAGGGGCAAAGGAGATAGTTTCTCATGAATTATCTTCTGTCTTGACTAATCCTCAGTACAGAACCAATATCCATTTAAAAAGTTCCAATCAAAGAATTTCCTGTTAAATAAGGCTTAACTGTGACTTGAGGATGTATTTATAACAGTATATCTATATCCTCTAGCAAATTTGATGTTTGACTTGAATTTTATGTTTTTATCTTGATGCTTCAGAGAGAAATGATACAGGAATAGAGACTAACCTTCAATTTCCAGTGTAGAAGAATCCATTGTATTTAGTTGGCATTTAATTAAATGGTTGTTTAATTTATGAATTGAAGGTGTGACAGAAAATTGACTAAAATTAGTGCAGTGGATCTGTATTAACCTTAAACATCTACACATAAGACAAAGATATAAGGATACAGAGAATGTTGCCACAAAAACAGGATTATGGATCTCAATTATCTGGGGAATGTTAAAAATTTTAAATATCATGCACAATTCTGTATTTCTTGAAGCAGAAACTTAGAGGTGGTTGGCAAGGGTGGGGTGGGGAAGAAATGATGGAAAGGCATCCTGGGAATTTATGCTTTAACAGGTCTTCTCTTTGTTCCTCTGGGTAAACTTAGGCACTGGTTAGGTCAAGCCAGTAGTCCAGTGTTTGAGGACTGCTGATGTGACAGTGTGTACGTTAGATAACAAGTTAAGGAATAGGATTCTCAGCATTGGTGTGCTATTAATGCATCCGTGGCACTTTACTTCACCTTGCCTACGTTCAGACTCCTGAATGAGGAACTTCATCCCTGACTAATCTCTCCAGGGACCTGTCAAGTCTGTGATGCTGTTGGCTTATGGATTACAACATTCTAAGGCAAATCTCCAGTGAAGGAGTGATTTTTGCAACAAAATGGTTAACTGCATGATCAAGCTGCATGTACACTTCAGAGATAAAGATCATTAGCTCAGTAATTTTGTGTATTGTACCAGTCTGGGCATCAGTGTATGAATGATTCCATGTGTTAATAATTTGAATCCATTTTTCAAAACCAAAAAATAAGAATCTGTTGATGGTCAACAGATTAGAAAGCTCTATGGAGGCCCATTAATCCTGGCATTTCAAAAGCATGTTAACTTCCAAAGAATCAGGCCTTAAACATCAATACAAGAGATTTTGCAAAGCACAATTTTTTGTCTTCCTGGTCTCACCAACAAACATTTTAATGTTTAATATTGTGTTAAAGAGTTCGGGGAAAATGTGTATTATGAACAGATTTCAAAACTTTGACACCTACGTAAGCTTACCTCTTAATTTTCTTGTTGACAAACATCTAAGTACCCTTGTACTTACAATGATGTGTTCCCTATCATCAGAGAATAGAACTGTTTTGGTCAGCAAAATTGAACAATTTCCTGATCATTGAGTTTCATCATTACATATGTTTGTGCTGGGTATATACCTAGTTAAACATTCCCATATCTAAAAGCTCTCAACTATAGTAAGAGAAAACGAAGAAATATTGGTTGAAATAAGCAAGAGAAGAAAGGAAGGATAGAAACAGAAAAGTTTGGTTTATTTTAGTGAGAGCAATGAAGCTTTGCATCTCTGGGTTACTACACAATCCACTTCCAGTAGCTGAGAAATCTTCCATAGGAAATATGTCAGGACATGGAGATCATCTATGAACGTGTCAACACAAAGTATTAGCAGAAGGACCTTTCACAATGAATGGCGGAATGAATAGCTCACCTTTTTTCAAGCAGAGGCTTCCATTGACCAGTTTTCCCTCAGTGTTGACATCTATTTTCATCCAACTATGGAGATATTTCTTGCCCTTCTTGACAACTACCCTGGGGCCTTGTTTCTTGAGAAAGAAGGAGGCATTTTCCATCTCCAGGAAGCCCTCCTGCTCATAGCAGGTCCACCAGGGTGCCTGGGAGCAGCTGGTAACGGTGACTGCTCTTGAAGGGCCACCTGAGATGTTGGAGACAGCTAGGCACTGAGCAGACTTGGCATGAAGGAGCTTCCCATCCTGAGTCCATCGCCACTGCTGGTTCTGGCTGGTCCCATTGCATGAGCCCACGACCACTTTCTCATTGAGGAAAAGGCATTGTTGTTTTTGCACGTGCACAATCTGAAAGCCCTCTGGAAGATGAAAAGCTCATCAAGTACCGTGTAGTAAGTAAGGCATAAGAGCCCTGAAACACAGAACAACCTATCCACCAAATAGCCAATAAAATTCCTACGTTTATTTGTGTCTCACTATTGTTGCAACTCCAAATGAACTTTCCCAGATGTCAACACACGTGACTGAAAATCCAAAATGGCACACTTAACTCCATGGTTTTTTTTTCAGCTTTCATATGATTTACGGAAGAAAACACACCTCCACTGAAATAATGAAGGGAAGCTTGGAAAAGAAACAAAACCATCCAACAAAAATGGCTTTCTTTTGGAAAATGAAAGGCAATTCCAGAGGATATGGTGTAATATCTTCTATTTTGGCCCAATTAGTTAAATATACTCTTACAACAAAAGCTGAAGTTCCCTTTTAAACTATTGGTCCTCTCGATATCACCTTCTCTCCCAATATAAAAAGAAACCAAAAACCAAACTCTTTTCTACCCTTAAAGTCACATCACAATAAACATGTGTATACAAAGTGTATAGTTTAAACAAATTTTTAAATTGTATATATATATTTAACAAAAAAAAACTTCTCGTTTTTTCCAAACACAACATCCTGCCTATCAGGAACCAAGGACAATTGGTCATCACAAACTAATTTTCTTGTGCTTCTGGGAAAGAGCATTTACCTTGTGACACTATCTACAAACTTCCCTCAGACACCGGCATATCTTCTTTCTTTTTTTTCTTTTTGGAAAAAATCTTCATTTCGTGTGAGAAAGGCAATTGTGAAAAGATTATCACTCGAAACTGAGATAGGCAGCCTCAGAAACCACTTTCATGGAGCTTTCACTGAAATTGTCCAACTTTTCCATAGAAACACCCAGCCCTTCCAAATGACAACTTCCAAAGACAACACCACATTTGCTTAGCCCCTTGAATCATATTCCTTACATTTTCTTTCTTTAAGACACACACACACACACACACACACACCCACAACTATCACCTGATTGGGGAAAAGCAGGGAGAATTCTACTCAGGCTGTTAAAAGTAACAAATAGTTTCTCCTTAGAGTTCTTTCTGCTCTAAAGGTGCCATTTCAGGGGCTGCCTGAGGCACTTGAGAGGACAGAAACGCAGCGTTTATTTTCTTTAGGAGAGAAATCTCGGCAGTTTGGGCACAGCTGGCTCCTTTGATTTCCCCCTCTCGGCTTTGGCTAAATTGTCATGGAGATCTGGCTCCATGGCTGCATTTTTTTTTTTTTTCTGGATACTTTTCTAAGGCTGAGGACTCTTCCTGGGCTAGATGTGGGAAAAACCCTCAGGAAACTCACCCAAGTTCCCGAAGATGAAGCAGCTAAGAATCGCCATGTAAAATTCAGCCTCCATTTTCCACTTAACAACGGTTCATGCTTCGTTTGGGGGAAAAAAAAATTTCTCCCAGATAAGAGAAGCAAAGGCTAGGAAGGAAATGTGCCTTCATGGTGGGGGGAAAAGTCAGTGACGAGCACTTCCTCCAATTGAATTGTTTGGGGAAGTTTTACACCAGTGTCCTTTTGTCTGTTTCCTTAGAAAGAAGGGATCACAATTTTCTTTCGTTTTTTAAAATGTAGAACCAACCTTTAGGAGCAGATTCAACCTCGTAACATGTTCACCTGCTGTCTGCTTGGCTCTTGACTGCTCCTTAACCTCAAGAGGGAAGAAGGAATTGTAAAGGAGGGTAACCACAACGTGACATCTCTCCGGGTGATGTGATCCTGATGAATGAACTCAAAGCGTGCAGTTTCTGAGGGTCTGTGACATGTGATATAAAGACATAAACATATACCATGTGGATGATGGTATGCTGAGAGTCTGTCAAGGAAAACCACATGATGATGCCACTTTGACATCAATATCTCCCAAGTGATGACACTATTGTATTTTGAGATAGTCATCTCTACTATGGAGACTCAGAAACTAAAATTAAACCTATCACACTGTCTACTTTAGGCTTCCCCAAACCACTGATGGTTTCTCTCCAAATGGCAGCAGGGGGAGGGGAAAAGAATACACTTTACTCAATATGTTGTATTAAGAGTAGTTTATTGGCAGTATGAAAGAAAGTCAACATTGCTGCAATAAAAATTCATATTTGAGCAGAACATCTAGTGTTTGCTGAGTGTAGTTATCTGAACTTTGTTTCTGGAGGATTAAAACCTTTCAGAAATTTCAGCATCTACAGGGCAGCGTCCTTAGGAGGAGCTTCTGGAAATAGGAGATTACATCATCCCCAAAGACATCTGCCTTCGACTGGGAGAGAGAGTCCAGGTGGTTGACATATTCAAAAATCCATTCTTAGTAAAAGAGAGACAAGGATGGAAAACTCTTGATACTTCATGTTTGCTACAAATTTGTTTTTCCCTTTAAAGTAAAATAACTCATGATGCAGAAATACACTGTGTAGTGTTCTGGGGGCAGGAGCTATCTCTATGCTCAATAATAGAGAGTAAATACATAAACACCCGATGACAATCATTGTGCTCTGTAAGTGACAGGAGGTATTGTAAATACACATGTAGTAGGTAATATTATCAAGATACATCTTCATATAAAATAGTTACTGCTTTTGATTTCTTTTTCGAAAACAAAAACTTACTTGTTAAAAATTCATTATTAATCACTTGCAACTTCAGCAGCAAGATTCTGGTAACTGAGAAAGGTAATAGCACTTAAAACAGGAATAGTTTGTTTAGCTGACAGTCCATTCACAAGACAGACTTTGCAAACATTAAAGCATCTAAACACACAATAATAATTTCTTTAGCAGCTCTTTCAGTCATCACCCGATGACACAGATCACTGAATACTACACACATATGTCTTGTGTGCAGTCAATATAGACAAAACAAGGTCTGCCTTACACTGTGCGAGAAATAGCTCATACCTCCAATCAGCATAGGGCCTTCAGAAACACGAGAAGGATGCTTACAATTGCATTCATATACACAAAGGGCTGGCAATCTTTGAGTGTATTGCCAAATCTTCCATGATCCAGAGGTCTGGCTGGAGAGCCTTGCCTTCCTTCCGTGGCAGGAAACTCCTTACAGTAGTCTCAGTTGGGTCATTTGATTCATTACCCAAGGAGCTTGGTGGTCTGCTAAGTCTGTAGTGAATCACTGGACGGTTTCTGCTGAAAGTCTGCTCTCGTACAGGCACAGCGCATGATGAACAAATTCATACTGCTCACTGGTTTGGACCATTCCACCCCTGCAAAGGAAAACAGAATGAAGTAATCTTGTGCTAACATCCTAGAATCTCCAGTAGCATAGAGACGATGTTTAAGTCAGGATGTTATGCCAAAAACACACAGAAATTGACCTAGAGTCCCTTGTTATCTCTCCTACAAATATCTCAATAATTTAATATGTCAACATATACAATAAGGGTTTAAAACCATGCCTGGTACATACTACAAGCACTTGATGAATGGGGAGGTGATAATAGCTCTATGATTAAATATCAGACTTTGTAACTAGCCAAACTGAGTCTAAATACTTCCTTTGCCAATTCTTACTGGTGTGGCCTTGAGAATGCTCCTTAAGGATCTCTGTGACTTTGTTTCCTTTTTTGGTAAACCAGGAAAAGGATATATCTACTCTAAGGTAGTAGTGAGGCTTAAACAAATTCAACGTAGCTAGAGTAGTAGTAGTATTTCTTAAGTGCCTTACCAGTCATCTTTATTTTGGTTTTAAATATTTATTTATTTTTATTGTAAAGGCGGATATACAGACAGGAGGAGAGATAGGAAGATCTTCTGTCGGATGGTTTACTCCCCAAGTGACCGCAATGGATGGTGCTGTGCCAGTCCGAAGCCAGGAGCCAGGAGCTCTTACAAGTCTCCCATGTGGGTGCAGGGTCCTAAGGCGAGGACTTTAACCACTACGCTATTGTACTGGGCCTGTCATTTACCTTATGTTTATATATTTTTATTAAAGTCAATTAAAGTAAGTTATCTGAACAAAAGTCAGTTGTGAAATGTTGCCATTTCTACAAGTACAATAAAAGTCTACCCAGGAATGTTCTCCAGTGTGCTATGGAAACTCAAGCCTTGGGTGTGATGGGTATCCAAACATAATAGTGGGTGGGTCTTTAAATCAGCTGGAAAAGGGGAACTGGCTCCTGCTTTTGTTGTTGTTGCTCCCTTTTGTTTTGTCCATTATCACCACTGGCTGCTGAGCATCCTCTTTGTCATCAACTTAGTAGGCAACTGCTCTCATGAGAAAAAATGACGCTTCTCATGATATTTCCTTATATACAATGCTTAGATCACAATTTGCTCCTTTGTAATTAGAATTCTTTAGTTTGGTCAAGTCATCAGACATGAATGTAACCAATTTATCCTGTTCAGGGAATAGCAACCTCACGATTAGTACCAACTTGGAGTCCTGGAAGGTCTCTTAACTCTGCAATCACACCACTAACTCTACGTCATAGTTTAGTCTATGTTTTGGCCAATTTTCCTCTTGGTTGTTAGTACCATTCAAAATAATTTTCAGAGCACATAAGAGAATCAGCTTTAAAATATGATATATACCTCTGCAATATGATTTCTAGTCTAAGATTGGCCTTGTGTCTGTTTACTTGTTATCCACCATAAATATTAAATCTATAACACTTCACCCTTCCAAACAGTGATGTTTCAGGCAGGTTCCACATGATGCCAAAATGATGCATTTAGCAAGAAGAAAAAGGTAAACTCATACTTTTGGTGGACAACAACTTGTTGACAAGGATATTCCATGGGCCTGTTACCTAAGAAGTAATTATTCCTTTGTAGTGAAGACTACTTTCTGACCAGAGTGCTTGCTGGTCAGAAGCTGACAACAGAAATGGCCAACAGGGGATGCGATTACAGTTAGCATTATGATTAGTGACTGATGGTGACACGTGGGCACGCACAAAAACATAGCAGGTGTGCAGAAGATGTTGCCTTGGACATGAACCCTGGAGAGACAGCTATAGTGACCATCAGCGCAGCTTCTGAGAGGTTAGAAGTGCCTCCCTTCTCTTGGTGTCGTCCCGAACCTGGGGGTCATGGCTACCCTGCTGAGCCGTAGACGCTGTGTGGGGTCTCCTATGCTCTGACCTGTGGACTTCCTGTAACCCTTTACTCTAAGGCAAAGATTTTCCTTTCTTTTTTGGTATGTTCTTTTCAGCACTTATATTTACATGTACAATTGGTGCATCAATGGAAATACAGCTTAGGTTTGGATTTTTAGTAACTGTTTCACCCTAAGTTGGAATGCTTATCATAATATTCTATGAACTCAGTCAAGTTTATTTCAGCTGGTAAGTGGGGAAATGATAGGGGAAGTGAAGAAGCAAATATGTTAGTTGTGGGCTGGCAAAGTTTTTGATGATCTGAAGGCTTTAGGAAGATATCTAAAAAATTCTGTTACTTCCCACTGAATTTGGGAAGGATTGGCATCAGAAGCATCCTCAGAGATCATTCAGTCCGTGCATCAATGAGATACAGCTTTCCCAGATATGACGGATGGTTCACTGGCTTCTGATGGAAGGCTCTGGGGAAAGGTGCTGCTACAGGCAGCCTTTTCTGAGGTTGGCAGAAAAACGTTTGAAGACATCAGAATGAAGTCTGGCCCTCTCTAAAGTTTATCCCCCTGATTCAACTCAAATAAACCAAAAAAGTCCGAAGGCTCCTCTTGTAGTCACACAATAGTTTCTAAATGCTGGAAAGCAACCATCAAAGTCTCACAATCTTTTCTTCTCTAGACTAAACATCCTGTGACCAATCAGTATTTCTGTGCAGCCCGGTTTCCCTGTCAGTCACAAAACTAGCCTCCTTCTGCAGACTATTTTGTTCTTAGAGTGTGCCGTCTATTCTGCTGAGATCTGATCAGCAGGCTAATTTTCTCCTTTGAGCTAAATATTATATACCATTGAACTCATATGTGTAGGGGCCTTCGTGGGAAGGTCCACAGTGCCTACATGGTGTCTGCTACCCACCAAGATTTTCAAGATAATGAGTAAAGGTGCAAGTTATTTAAAAAGTCGGCAGGATATTTCGAGTGTGAACATTACAGCTTTATCCGTTTTTTGTGGCTAAATGCAGAGTTGTTCTATGTATTTCTGTTCATTTCATCTCCCTAGTTTTAACATCATTTTTCTTGGGTTGTGTATGGAATTACTATTTCTACCATTCAATATATTAATCTTCTACTTCTCACGTCCAGCATTGTGTCTTCCAGATGTTTAGTATTTGTGTAAGTTGTTTATAAGAATAATAGAAAAAGACAGGGAAAAGAATGCCTTACTACTAGGGAATTTGTTTATAAAAATTATAGCAAATGATAGGGAGAAGTTAGGGTCTTTATCATAATTAATTTGATATCATGTTATATATTATCTAATCTAAAATTATTGCCAACTAGGTAATTGAAGAATACCTGTTAAGCAGGTTACTTAGGTCACACTATTTTCATGTCATGTGAAAATAGAAAAACTCAGGGCTGAGGGAGAACAAAGGGAATCCCAGAATGCATTGAGTAGAGGCTGGTTCACATCCAGAAACTTATCCAGAAACTCATGCACATTGGGTATACATAGTGCTCCGTTCAAGTCTAGGACTGCCCTATAGATTTTATTATGCTATGAGGCAAATACTGTCTTTTAATAGATTGGCTATACTAAAAATTACTCAAGAAACTAGTGTCTGCAAACAAAACATATTTGTGAAGGAAGTGAACAAAGATAAATTAGGGAACACCAACAGAGTTCTGTAGTAATTCATTCTCCAAGGAGCTTTGATCTAGCCCCAAGGCAATGCTCTGGTCAGACAGGGCTCCATGCATTTGTTGAAATCTGGCTCTATGTCATTCATGCAGTGTACCTAATCCAAGCTGGTTCAGAAACTTAACAAACAGGCAAGCTCTGCCATTACTTTAAAAGGCATCATCTAACTTCAACTTGATCTTCGATAATTTATAGACAACCAAGTTTAAACTTTTTAAAGATGCCCATGGTAATCAGGCTGGTGGTTCAAATGAATAGGTCTATGGTTACCAAAAATGGCCGAACCACCACCAGACAGATAGAATGCGGTAGGTTGTCATCATTGCTCAAGATTAAAATCACAGTTCCCACTTAAATTCTCTTTAGGTACTGATCTGTTTTCTTGGTGATGTATATCACATGAGGCCTTGACACTGAGCATTGATAGTTGAATTGATCCAACCATAGAGCAAATAAAGTACCAAGAGGGCTCCAGTTAGCTGTGAGAGCAGCAGTGGGTTTGAAAGGACTCAGAAGGCTGTGGAATCACATTCATTTCCAAATGGGCTCACAGTGACCAGTGGTACAATGTGAGAACATCATATTGGTTGTCAAGATAAAATTTGTTTGTACATTTTACCTGCCTTTTCCCCTTAGTATAGAACCTGTACAGTGCTCAGTATTCTCATCTGAAAAATACGAGATGAAAATAATACAAACATCCTAACATTATTGTGAGACATGAATAGGATAACCTGCTTGAAGTGCTTATCACATAGCCAAGCACATGGCAATACCATTAACTTAGCTACTATTGTGTCGCCGCAATACTATAAACTTAGCTATTATTGTGTCCCCTTGATACTATCTGGTCATACAGGATTGGTTAGGAGCTCTCCAGCAACGTCTTGAAGTTCTTGGAGGGCTAAGGACGAGCCTTGCTGAGGACTGCCCAGGTTAGGCGAGTGTAGAGGGAAAGCAGCAAGCTTGTCTCTGAATATTGGGCAGCCTTGAAGACAGCTACCATGGAGGCAAGCTGATGGGGCAGCAACTAGAGGGATTGGATCCAATCTGAATCCTCGCTGTTGACCCCAGCTACATGATCTTAGCCAAGTCACTTCATCTTTCCCAGTGTGGCTTTCTTCACTTTAGAATGACAGCATTGACAAACATCGCTAGGCTGTGAGGACTGAATAAATACGAGCATATTCAGGGCTCAGCATCCATAGCGGTTCCCAAGGGTCTCTGGCAGGACAGAGGAGTTGGTGGAGCTCAAGGGACCAGCTCTTAACCCTAGCTTTCACTCCAGCAGTTACATTTTTTTTTCTTAACTTTTTAAAAAAAATTTGTTTTTTTTTTTTTTTTGTGTTTGGTGTTTTATGGAAGATTTTGTTTTCAAAAAGTTTTCCATTGTGCGCAGAAACATTTGAACATCACTGGTCTAGTGAGCAGCTGTTTCCCTAATAAGGCTTCAA